ATAAAGTAAAAGCTAAAACACCATTGCTCTTATTTTTCAATAATAAATTGTTTAACCTTATTTAAATTATTTTTGTCTCATAAATTATTAAAACAAAAACTATGTTAAATACTCTGACATAATTTGTTAAAATTTAAGAAAATGTATAAACAATCCCATTAGGTACAAGAATTCATTGAAAGAGAATCTATTAAATACTCTGACATAGTTTGTCAAAATTTAAGAAATGTATAAACAATCCCATTATGTACAACAATTCATTAAAAAAAATTATATTTTTTAGACAACAGGTGCCACATTAATCACTGCAGAAAAAGTGTGACATTAATTAATTTGTACGGAAAATTATTTTGAGTAATGTTAGAGATTCCAAATATTCTATTAAAAGTTTTACCAAAGAGTAATATTAGAGGTCCCAAAAATTCTACCAAATGTCTCACATGGGTGTGGGACCCACATTGTGTGGGTCTCACACCCATATAAAATATTTGGTAAACATTTGTGGGTCCCACAGACATTTGGTAAAACTTTTGGTAGAATTTTTGGGGCCTCTAGCATTTTTGTTTACCAAATGTTTTATATGGGTGTGAGAGCCACACAATGTGGGTCCTATGTGGATCACACACCCATGTAAGACATTTGATAAAATTTTTAGTAAAATTTTTTAGACCTCTAACATTTTTTAATTATTTTTCAATAAAAAATTGCAGTTTTTAGACACGTGAATTGCCCACTTGTAAACAAGCAATTTCACAGAACCAACGTATAAAGTTATAACTAGAAAACTGACACACATTCCACAGGTGCATGAATCTCTTTTCTCCCTCCTCCACACTATAAATTCCCCCAAACCTCTCTCCCCCAAATTCTACAGTTAAAATAAATGTATAAAAATAAATAGAGAATTGTATTATTGAATAATGTATGCTTGTTGTGTTGTGTATTTACAAGAGAATTAGGTCTCTCTATTTATAGAGAGGAGAAAGATACAATGGAGTACGAAGGCATAAGGTAAGATATTACAATAATATAAAAGTGTAATCTAAAGCTTTGCTGGTAGTGGGTGTTGGCCTCCTTTACACATTTGCTGGTTCCTAATGCACATGTACATTACAGCTCCTAATGCACATGTACAGCTATGAAAGTATAAGGTATATTATATGTTAACATAAATAATAATTTTTAATTGATTTGAGAATCATAGCTAAATAATTTATTATATTTGTCTAAAAAGTAATAAAGAAGTATGATTGTGAAAATAAATTGTTCAATTTTTAAAAATAAATATAATAAAATTATATTGCTACGATTCTTAAATCAATTTTTTTTTAAGGAATAATCTCCACACTAACCTTCCTTGAGATCTAGAGAAAATACATTAAATTCTAAAAATTTAACATAATTATTAAAAAGAAAGTCAGTGTGATTATGTCTAATTTGTAGAATTTATTATATTTTTTAAATTGCAAGAATGATCAATATAATTTACCCATAAATCAAAGAACTTGGATTCTCTTCAATCCATAGTGTGGATTAGACCGTCCAATCCACTTCACGGGTCCGACATGAGTCTTGCTTTGATAATCAATTATGTTTATTTTTTAGGTCCCTATGTATAGATTATTCACGGAAAAGAAAAAAAAAAAGAAAAGAAAAGAGGTTTGATCCAATAATTAGGATTTGTCTTTCATTCTAAGACATAACTTGAATTCATGTGCTTCATATTCGCCCGAAGTTTACTTCCAAAAGCCATTGCTACCCCCTCATGTCAAACCCATGAGCCTCTTATCCATTCTCATTTAATTTTGGTTGGAGAATAAGTTAAATTAAAAAAAAAACTCACATTGAGTTTAGAGATGTCAAACTAATGACTTCCATCATGTTAAGGTGATAAAACTACCGCTGAGTTATATATACCTTCTCTACCTCTATTGAGAAATAGAACTAACTAATTTTAAAGTGTTGAGAAACTCAACTCCGCTATTTTAGCTATAAATTTATTATATTTGTCTTTCAGAAACAAATATGATTTTGAAAATAGAATATCTATTTTTTTTAACACTAAGAAAATAAACTTATATAATTACGATTATTAGATTAATTTAATTTTTTTTTGTAAATAATCTATTCATAAAAACTAAAATAAATTATCAAAGTAGAACCCTGTTAGACTAATGGCCCGATTGAATTGTCCAATCTTAATGGAGAGAAGAGAATCACATTATGAGAGGAACATAGGGTCTCTTCCAGCTGTGTTGGATTGGGGAGATTTGATGGAAGATTCCTCGTGTATGTATATAATATGTAAATATATATTAAAGTGGATGGTTTTTTTACTTGGATTTCATTCCCTAATAATTCATGTCCACTTGGGAGAATCATTCTCTTCTATTCTATTGACACCTTTTGAGTTGTCAACTAATTTATAAAATTTGTGATGATCTTCTTGTTCTAGTTCTTTGCCTTTGAATCTTAGGGTTGGTCTACTAATTGTACTTTTTGTTTTTTAATTTTTAAATTTTAGATTTGTAGAGTAATTTATAAAAAGAAAAGGAAATGTAAAACTCAATGTTCTCTATCTACCCCCCCCAAAAAAAGGAAATAAAAAAATTTATTTGGTGTACAAAAATATTTTTAAAACAAAAATAGGAAGATATATTTGGTGGTTGCTGAAAGTGGTGGTCAGCAGAAGTTGGACGGATGTGGTGGCTACCAGCGTTGGTAATTAAAGTGTCATCAAAGGTCATAAGGTGAACAGTCGTCAAAAGGCAGATGAAACTCACTAAGGCCTCGTTTGGGAATAAATTATTTTTGTAATTTTTTGACTTTTTTTTAAAAAGATGTGTAGAAAAGTATAGAAAGTGATGTGATAATTTATAGTGATTTTTTGACTAAAATTAAAAGTTGCCAAACGAGGCCTAAGTGTTAGTCAATACTTAAAGAGTGAAAATTTATTTTGAAAACTAGCAAAAATATTTTTTCTGTTTTCAAAAAATTTAAAATTATTTTTTTTATTTTTCTAGAACAAAAATTATATACCAAATAAGTTTTTATTTTCAGTTTTAAAAAAATAAAAATAAATTAATTTAAAAACAAAAAACAAAAAACAAAAATGTTACTAAATGAAATAATTCTTTTCTCTCTCCCTATTGTTATTATTATTATTATTTTTTTTTTTACAAATTTAAAATATAAACACAACATTAGTTTATAGTTTTAGCACTGCAACTTTACAGTTTGGTCAATGCTCTAAATCCCATGCAGTATTGCTAAGCACGTGCAAACTTTCTACCTAAAATTAAAAAAAAACACGTGCATATTGGGGACCATCCTGCCTTGGCTCGTGATACGAAAAGAAAATAAATAAATAAAAATTTACTCATCTCAAAAATTAATTTAAAAATAAAAATATAAATATAAATTGCAAATTTAAATTTAGTGTAATAGATCATATCAAAAATAAATTTAATTCATATTTTGAAAATATTTTTTTGAATATGTAAAATTTTGTTGATTGCAATATTTATTTGGAAGAATTGCAAAAAATGGAGTGAATCTAAAATAATTACAAAAATTGGGTAGAATAAAAAATAACTAGGGTATACGTGAAAAGTGGAAAATAATTACAAAAATAGGATGAAAATTATTATTTTGCCCTTTTCACTTTTACCCTTCAGCCCCTCTCTCCCCTTCCTCTCTTCTTCCTCCTCCCTGGTGATCATTTTTTCTAGCTTCTAGTCTCCTCTTTCCGCTCTCCCTAGTCCATCTCCCACCTTACGTCTTTCTAACCACCACAATGAAAGGGAGGGGGGAGAGAGAGAGATCGATCTATGGTTAAAGATCTTGGATTCTAAGCGAGAGGTTGGGGTTGTTGTGGTGGTGTGAGGAGTAGAGGTGTTGTAGTGGTAGCAATAAGAATCTGGGGTCATGAGTCGAAAAAGGTTGAGGTGGGAAAAAGGGTTTAGGGTGGGGTGGTAAGAAAAATGACAGAAGGTGGACAAAGAGGGTTGGGAGAGAGGTCGATGATGGCTAGAAAGAGTCGGGGTACAGGTGGTCACCGACTTTAGATGTTGGACGAAGGAGGACAAAGAGAGATAAGGGGGCGAGGGGAAGTGAGGGTGTAAGACGCAAAAACATAATTTTCAAATCCCATGTGTGTCTACTACAATTATGTTTTATTCTTCACATTTATTTTCTTTTGCAAGTATTTTATGTTCTTTTTCTTTTTTCTACTATTCTCCATATTTATTTTCTCCTTAAGCAGTTTGCATCCTCTGTCTTCAATAAAGAAAATAAAATAAAAACTCTTGTTGTAAAATTTAATGTTGAATTAGGCCAATTACATCTTGTCTTGCTCATCCCCAACTTAGGAGCAGCCTCAAGACTCTCACTTGACACTTTTCAGCCTAAAATATTTGCAGCCTAAATGAATACTCACAAAAATGGCTTCAATCAGTCAAGATGCCGTGTTTTGAATTATGAATTTAAATAGAACTTCGAAAACAAAAAAGAAAAAAAGTGTAGAAAATGTGAATGAAATGAATTTAAATTTTTTCACCATTTCGTTTTTCATTTTCAAATCCCTATCCAAATTTATGATCCAAACACAACATAAATACAATATTAATCTCCTCAGGAGAATATCAAATCCAAGGAGGCAATTTTTTGCAGGCAAGTTTGATCCATACACATGATGTTTTAACTGTAAATCAAAAAAATTAATTCGATCAGAAATGGCTTTTCTCATAAATAGTGATGACAAAACTTTCTCCATATACAGCTCTTCATTCCCAAAAATAAATAAATAAATTTCTAGTTCTCCAATTTTCATCTTCTTTTCTCAAAGCATGATTCCAAATTTGATGAACTAAACAAAAACCATGACCTAGCTTTCAACTGTAACCAGAAAAAAACAATTTTAATGAACTAAAAAAATATCACACTTGCGCTAAAGACCACCAGAGTCCTCAGCTTCCATCACATATCTAGCACGTTTCATCGATGACACAAATATATACATTACACACACATTAAAAGCAATCTACAATGTCATATATCAATGCAAACTGTATCACGTAGTCTGTCATCCAAGTTCATCATAATCATCAGGAAGGTTAACAAGTAAAAAGAAATCTATGAAACAGATACAAAGAACACTTCACCTTTGCAACAGAGAGTTCACTTGTAGGCTCCCATCCCTATGCCGGTGTCCCTAGTAGGCTGGAAACTGTCGTTAGCCTTAGAGTAGTAAACATAATAAAGCTCAGAGACTATGCCGGTGAAAACAATGAAGGCAGCCCCAGTCCCAAAGAGTCCCTTTCGCACGGTCTTGCAAGAAGGAGGATTGGCTGATGATGTCTTGGTGTGGTAGGCCTTCCTCGCCGAGCCAGCGAGCAAGCAAATCTCAGCAATAATAAATGTCACCCTGAGATATCAAAGGAATTAATGGAATGATTTTTGAAATATTGAAAAGAGCATCTTCCTACACAAGATTAGAAAGAGACACTAGATCACATCAAGGCTTTGAACTTGTACATATAGGGATTATTACCTTTAGGCTCTATTTAATTTAAAAGAAAAAATGGCGGAAAGTGAAGTGAAAGAAAGAAATAGAAAGGAAAATATTGCAAGAAAAAGATAGATATATTTGAAATTTTAATTATAGGTAACTCCTTACATGGACAAATTCAAGTATTTTCTTGTGTTTTTTGCTAGAAATTAAAAACTTAATTACAATGCTAATATGGGTTGTAAAAGAAAATTAATTTTTTTTTATAGTTTCTATCACTTCATCCTAAACAAACTTAGAAAAACAAAAGTTTTTTCCTGTTTCCCTCACTTTCATCCTAAACAAACTAACCTTAAGGAAAAAATTGGAAAACTATTTACTGGTCAATCTATATTAAATGAAATTTTTTATTTTAAACTCTATGTATGTAAATATATTTACAAATTAGTCAAAAAAACATTGGCAAAAGGTCATTTTTGTGCATGTCACTTTCTTCGGAGGTTACGGAATAGAGTTAGGGTTTGAGAGAATAGGGATGTAAAGATGAATGAGAGTATGTTTGGTAGTATGGTGAGCGTAAGAAGGTAAAATCAAAATTTTAAATTTTTGTAAATGGTATAATTATAAAATGTGTAAGAAGATGTTTTTGTTGTATAAATAGAATCACTCATATAAGTTTCAATACATAGACTTCAAAAACCTCAAGGGGTTGGCCTGGTGGTGGTCAGGCTTAAGGGTGTGCTCCTTCCATGCATGCAAATAATTTCTTGGAGCCATGCCATACAAGGCTTTGCCCCCGGTTTAATTGGGCCCCCTTCTAGTGGTCGGTGAGATTGATCATCCGGATTAGTTAGTCCATTGGGCTGGATACAGAGTTATCCAAAAAAAAAAAAAGAAAAAAAGAAGACTAAAAAGAATTTTTGTATTTATTTAATAGACTTGATAAATAATTTGTTTATTAATAATCCCATATATTTATATATATATATATACATATATGTATATCTGATTCTCTGCAAATATTTCTGTGAGCAAACACCCAAAGGAAATTCATGAACTAGGCACGACAAGAGCACATACCAGCAGGTGATGAATAGCACAATTGCCCACACCCTCGAAGTGCCAGGTCTCAAAGCCCTCCCACAGCACATGCATCGACTAACTACCATTATAAGCAGTTGGCTGGCCAAGAGGAACAGCAGCGACCCCACACCCAAGCCGGTTGCAATATCAGAACTATAATGACAATAGCTTTGACCACTTTTTACACCAATTGTAAACTGTCAGAGAAGATGGGTAATGCATGAGCCAGATTCTTGACAACGTTAATAGAGGAAACACATTCTGATTTTGATTTCTCAACATTATAATTTGACAAAGATATAATCCAATACAAAGTCTGTAAGAGCATCTCCAGACTCCAATCCTTCATCAATTTTTTCCAACAAATTCAAATTTGATGAAAAATGGCTAAAAGTGTGCTCCAGTTATTTCATCAATTTGTATCAAATCAAGGGAGAGGCAATTTTTTCACCAAATCAAGAATGAACCAAATTCTTCACCAAATTCCCAACAATAAATTACTCAAATTTGATATCAAACATAGTTAAAACAGGTTTTTAGGACAAGTTCGGAAATTTTCAAATTGGTTTGATGAAAAAAAATAGCATAAGGATTTGAGTGTTCTACATCAGAACAAGCTTTAAATCAAAATTTCACTAAAATTTTATGGAAAGAAAGAGCAAGGATTGGAGATGCTCCAAGAAATTAGAAGATAGACAAACACAAACATGCAGTGCAAGATCCCCCCATCACCACCACCACCAAAAACAAAACAAAAAACAAGAAAAAAAAAAAAAAGGAAAGAAAAAATAAAAAGAAACAAAGAAAGAAAGGAGTGTTTGTGAAAACCAAACTCGATATCTCTTCTTTCCGTAGTCACTGATAAGGTTTTTTGAACCAATAGGTTCAATATATGGGACTCACCTAAATCTCATCATTGCTAAAATTTTATGTAAAGGCTATTTGATAATATGATTACTTGAAGTTTTCAACAAATCGTTGTCAAAAGAAGGGAAGCAACTTAGAAAAAGAATAAACCAAACCAAATCAAGTATTTTTTTGTGTCTTACTCAAGTGAGATCGGCTATATAAATTCATTTTTTGCTATTTTGTGTTGGAAAAAATGGTTTTATATAGGCATATTTTTAACCCAATTTGGGTGGACCCCAAACGTGTTTTGGGGTGGGTCCGAAGAGGATGGATCTTTGCGTAGATTAATTAATATGGAATGTTTACCTAAATTTGACATTGATTCAAATCATAAATGTGAAATTTGTGTTGAGGCAAAATTATCTAGAACTCCTTTTCATTCAATTGAGAGAAGTACGGAACCACTTGAATTAAGTGAAGACGGTACGTCAAAACCATTTATGAGTGAATGGGAAGTTGACGTCGTTTTCGGGTTTTACATTAATTTTTTAGATAAAATTCATTTGAATTTTTTCAATAAAAATTATTGTGGGAATTTAATTTAATTCTAAAATTCAAATTTTGGGTTCCTATTTAGTTTCCTAAAAAAATTTTGTCTTTGTAAGAATTTAATTTAATTCTAAATTCCTAAGTGGTTTCCTAAATGTTTGTACATTTTCATTTATTTATTAAACAATTTAATTTTTTTAATATATATATATATATTCAAATGTTTTAATATATATATTTATATATATTCAAAATAGTTTATGTAAATGAATTTGGAACAGTTGCTCAACAGGCATTTGTTTTCCACTAACGGACAAAAAACCTCCATTCTTTAATGGGTGCAATGTTTAAATTTGGTGTGCAACGTTTTCACTTAAATAGCACCTGTTCGGAACATTTTTTGGTTGCCTATATATATATTAACTTTTCCAGCAGTTTGGGCATTCGAAAAATTTAGTGATATTTTGTTCCTTTGTGTTATCCAGATTTTCCTACTTTTGCTTTATTCTTCATTTTAATTTTAGGAATAAATATTCAGAGAGTATAGATCACAGGTTTGGTTCGCCGAACAAATTTATTTGAAGTACTTCTATAAATTTGTGAAGATCATTGTATCCTGGGAGATAGACGCCACTCAACCGTAAGTACCATAGCGGGGCGAATCTGTCTTAAGGACAGAGTGTCACACACTCGACTTGGTCTTGTAATTTTATTTGGATTCGATAGATAAATCTGATATGTTATTTATTTATTTTGTTTGAATTTATTTTCAAGTTTTTTTTTTTTTTTTTATTATTATTATTTTACACAGAAGATTGTTCCAACATTTTGTTATGTCAAGGGCTATATGATAAGTTAAACTAATTTGTTTTAAAAAAATTATTATCATCTCATGTCAGTTTTTGTCTTCCCCTTTACCTAAGATTTCCATTTATGGTGATCACGTACAAATTTCAAAATTTTAAATAGTAATATCTTCATTTCTTTTTTCACCCAGTGCTTCACGCATTTCTTTTCTTCCTTTATAAATTCATTTTTTTGCTATTTTGTTATGTCAAGGGCTATATGATAAGTTAAATTAATTTGTTTAAAAAAAAAAACACAACCACTATGGAATGGGAAATTATAGTGAAGCAACTAACGAAATAAACCTGACATGGCTGTTTTCCACTTTCATTGAGGTTTTAGGATGTTGCTTTTCTTACATGATCCATTCACTTTTTTTATAGGCCCATTATAATACAAATTTGCCCCAAGACCACCACTTCCACCCTATTTTATTAGGCACAAGTCACACGACATATGCAGAGCCAATTTAGAGAATCAGAGAGTCCCATAGTTTAAGATAGAAAAACACTAGAAACTCAAACCAAACTCAAAAAAAATTGCCTTATTTTGAGCTGAAAAAACAAATAATCTGAAAAGGCAAAAAGTTTCACCAAACACCCTACGATTCCTAAGTACAACCGCTTAAGCATGTGTTTCAAAATTTAAAAATGCTGAAACTAAGTTTTACCAAACGAGTTCATTGAATAGCTCAAAGCATGCTCGGAACTGTAGATGTTTCTAGATTTCTAAGTTAAGGAAAATTATAAAGAACTTCATCATACCATATTTTCCCATTTGTGAAACAATTCTTAAATATTTTCCCATTTTCTCAAGATGCCCCCTAAACACTACCTAAACTGCCCCATACCATCAATATCACAGCTGCCTCCACCACCACCATATTGTCATCACTGCCACTTCCAACATCCCATGATGACCATGGTTGTTGTGTTAGCCACCAATATTACAACAGTTGTCTCCACCTCCATTGCAATCAACACCTACTTTACTTCACTACAACTAAGTATGTGATTCTCTTTCTGGGCTTTGGATGGGGAATGTTTGCATCAGATAGCAAAAACTGTAAAGTTTTTCTTTTCTTTTCTTTTTTCTTTTTTTTCCCACTTCACTTCACCAACCAAATATCTTCCATTAAACAACCCACACTTCTCTATCCAAATCTGGCTTCATTTCTGCTAGAATTCAAGAGATCAACAAGTACAAAACACATCCAATCATAGTACAGATGTTTTTGCAATTATAAGTAGGCACAGTGGGGAGAAGCAGCAATACCCTTATTAACAGCACAAGTTATTGATTGTGGAAAGCCAGAATTGCCACTTTTTCCTCACAACTACATTCATATCTCTAATGCAAAACTAAGCCTGTGTTTGGATCTTTACAAATCCCTCCCCAAATCTAAGATATAAACACAACCTAAAATGAAAACAACCTTCGGCAGAATGTTCCATGAACCTGAATATTGTGCTAGAGGTTGTATTTAAGTGCTAATATGGTGATTGCTGTCAAGAACTCATCTAGGGAATTCATAAATTACTTGAATTTAAAACAAGGGAAATCACAATTCCCTTCCTTCATCAACAAAGTGGGTATCTTATTTTATTACAAAAAAAATTACTTGAGACCCAAAAATAAGCAAATTAGGGCATCTCCAATTCTTGAGTCAAAACCTATATCAAATTTAAATTTGGGTGAAATCACTCAAAACACCTTCACTCCTTGACCCAAGCTTGTTAAAAATTGATTGAGTTTTATCAATTTTTTACCAAATCAAATAAAATCAAATCAAATGTTTACTTAAAATTTTCAAGGCCATTTTGTGGCTCTCAAATTTACCAACTTAGTGAAGCTTTTTACCCAAATTTATGCTTAAATCTGAGTTTGTTTGTTCATGGGTGTGGTTCATATCAAATAAGCTTCTACTCAAACTTTGGTAAAATAGAATACCCACTTTGTCAAAATTTGAATAAGGGCTGGAAAGTAAACCCACAACACATATCAAGCAAAAACAACATATATATATATATATATATGCGAGAAAATAGAAAGGAAAATGGAAGAAAAAGGGAGAGAGGAGGAAGGAGAAGCATAGAAATGGAACTCACTTTAGCCCTCCTCTGCCCAGCAGCAACAGCAAGTGCAAAAGCAATGAGATCGAAGACAAAAACCACCACCAACACCAGTTTTGAAGCCATCAGATCAGTATTTTCCACTGCACAACCACTTGTTCTAACTCACACACAAAAAGCAACAGAGGGTTTTGCAAGAAAATAAAGAACCAGTGAGATTAAAAGCAAGAAAGAAAAAAAAATTAAAATAGATGACAATGAACCCAATAAGGTCTCGTTTGGTATTCGGTAAAGTTCGGTAAAGTGGAGAGAACACTCAACTTCAATGGAAGAAGATAAACGCTATGTGGGTTTTTTGGGTTTTGATTGTGTACTTTTGTTGTGGGAGGAGACATTATTATGGCAAATTACAATGACCTCCTTAATATTTGCAGTTATTACAGTCTAACCCTACAAATTAGTCAAATTATACTAACCTTCCTTACAAGAGATTTTATTTATTTATTTATTTATTTATTTTTAATAGGAAACCTCCCTTGCAAGAGTTTGTGAAGTGTATTTATTTGGATCCCACTATTTAATAATTTTTTGAAAAAATTACAATTTTTTTTTTAAAAGTTGAATCTTATAATAAATCAAACTCTACATTTTTAATTATTTCAAATAAAATCCTAAATTTTCAAAATAATCCCAATTTCAAAAATTAATGAAGAAATTTTTTTCAATGCATATATCATTCTCTTATTTACTCAATTCAAATTAATAAAAATACTCATTTTTATCTTACCACACAAATTACAACCATCACTTAACAATAATTCTAACCACATATTTCAATGTTACTATGGACCATATTACTATCGTGAATCTACGTGCACTTCAAAAGATAGGTTAGGCACCTCAATTTAATAAAAAAAAAATTATTCTTATTATGTCTCTATTTAAAATAATAAAAAAAGGAGTACTTGATATTGAAAAAAGTACAAATCATAGTGTTTTGAACAACTCATTTCATAATCATTCTCAATCTTTCTCTCTTTTCTCTTTTCACTTTTTTCACTTTACATCTTCATATTGAAAAATTAAAGATAGGCATAAAATTAGAATTTGAAAGATTAAGGATAGGCATAAAATTAGACTTTTATCTTAAGGTAAAATTGCAATAAAAAAAAAAATGAATAGGGTAGGAGTTTACTGAAAAAATGTAGGATTATTAGCAACACTGTAAAATGGGGGGCTAGAGTGAATGTAAAAGATCTTTTTGGGGCCATTAAATAAAAATAAAATAGTAGTAAAATTTATGAAATTTCAAAAAAAAAAAAAAAAAAAAAAAAAAAAAAAGAAAACCGCGTAAAACATGGAGGGCCCTTGTCGCTGCTTCCTACGTGGGGCCCAGTCAAAGGTTTTAGGGTGTGACATAATACAAGCTGCATGGTCTTATCCTTTTAAATTGTAATGATAAATAATGAGATTAAGATACTGACAGTTGAGGCCAAAAAAATTAAAAAAATAAAAAATATATTGACATTGGTATATATGTTTGGGGACATTGATGTGTACAACGTTGGGTTAATCAACTTGACTAATAATATAAAGAGAAAAATATCATTTTTTTAAAATTATTACTTAAAAATTAATTTTTTTTTATTATTTTAATAATATTAATTTTATTCCATCTTCAATTGTCAATTATAATTAAATAAAAATTAATGATGTGGCACTCCACCTTCATTTGAAATTTCATTTCCTCCCAAATTGTTCCCAAAATATTAAGACCCTTGAATAATATAAAATTTAGGGGTCTAATTGATATTTTAAAGATAGTTTTGGAGACCAAAATAAAATTTTAAACGAAATTTAAATGCCACATCATCAACTTTTGTTTCATTATAAGTGATAGTGAACGATAGGGGTAAAATTAATCCAAACGACAGTGAATGATAGGTGTAAAATTAATATTATTAAAATAAAATGGTTGAATTGATTTTTGAGTGATAATTTAAGAGGAAAAATAATATTTCCTCTAATATAAAATAAGGAAAATTATCAACAAGTTTCATTTTATTTTTAAGATTACAATTGAGTACTATCAAGTTTCAATATAGACAATTAAATCTTATTTTATATAAAATATTTTCAAAGAGTTCATTTCTCCATTATGGTGTATGTCATCCCAATTTTATCCTTATTTATGAACAAAAATTTTATAAATATTTTTAATCTAAGTAAAATTATATTTTTTAATTATAAAAATTATGATATTGTATTAAAAAAATCATAAATCACAATAAAAAAAATCATAAATAATTTTAATTTATTTAAAATTTTAGTTTTTAATTGTTGAAATTAAATGAATTTTCATAAATAAAAATATAAGTATAAAATTCATTAGTGTTTTGAAAAACATATAAATTTGGGGTGATTATTCAGTACTCCCGGAATATGGACACGTGATGCTCCATAATGTTTTGATTGGTGGAGAAACGCAAGGGCCCACGATTTATCTTGAAAAATTGGGAACAACATGAGGCTAACTAATTGCTGATTGGTTTGGAGTATGGACACGTGGTGATCCGAGAGTATTGAATAATTTCCCATAAATTTGTCATAGTATTATTTTTCAGACCTCTTTGAAATTTTAATAAAATTTAGCCCTTTTAGATTGTTTACGCTAAAAAAAATCATAATTTGAAGTAATAAAAAATGACGCATTTCATACTATAGTTGTTTTGATCCAATTGTTATTTATGATTTTTTTTGATATAATATTAATATTTTTTTTATAATTTTTACAATTAAATTTTTTAATTTTAATTAAATTAAAATTATTTATAAAATTACTTTTCATATTAAATGAGAAGGGTAAATTTGGGATAAAATACACTATTATAGAACAACGAAGGGTAATTATATTTCCATACACTAATTCTCATTAGTTCACATACTTAATGAATTTTTTTTAATATAATTTTGTCATAGAATAAAAATACCATAATATTCTTATTTTTTTCCACCAAAACCCTAATTCTAAAACACCACAACTATCCTCTATCGTCAACGCCACCTCTCTTTTCTGTCATCCCCTCCTATCTTTTTTTTTTTTTTCATCCACCATGTGACCACATTCCACTCGTACACTCCTACAAGCCTCTACCATGAACCATTAACTTTTAATGTTAACTGTGGAGGTTTATGATAGACGAAGAGGTGTTAGAAGTGACAGTGGTGGCAATAGAGGATTGAGAGTGGCAGCAACAGTGGCGAAGGAGGAGCGCATAGATGGAAGAAAAATTAGGAATTTAAAATTGAAGATGAAAATATTATTGGAATAAAGATATATATATATTGAGATTGTAATTTTTTTTGATGTATGTCACAATGTGTCCATTAAGTATGTGTCCTGAGTAGAATTAGTGTGTGGAAATAAAATGAAAAAATATATAGACAACTAAGCCTTATTTGTCATAACATATTTCCAAAAAGTTCATTGTTTCATAATGATATATCTTATTTCAATTTTACCCTTCTCATTTAATATGAATAATAATTTATAAATAATTTTAACTTAATTAAAATTAAAATTTTTAATTGAATAAAATATTGATATTATATTAAAAAATGTAAGTAACAATTGAATCGAAACAACTTTAGTGTAAAATGCTTCATTTTTTATTATTTCCAATTGTGAATTTTATTTATAAACAATTTAATAAGATTAAATTCTATTAAACTTCCAAAGAGTTATAAAAAATAATATGGCAAATTTATATATTTCACAATACATGAAATAGCTAATGAATCTTATACTTATGTTTTTGTTTAAAAAAAATTATTTAATTGAATAAAATTTTAAATAAATTAAAATTATTTATGAATTTTTTGGTTCATATTTTACTAAAAGATAAAATTAAAATAAAATATACTATTATTGAACTTTTTTATAAGAATTTATAAAATAAAAATAAGAAAATATAACTTGTTTGTCGATATTGAAATTTGATATAACTCAATAGTAATTTTTGAAACAAAATAAAACTTATTTATAATTTTTAAAAAATTATTTAATTGAATAAAATTTTAAATAAATTAAAATTATTTATGAATTTTTTGGTTCATATTTTACTAAAAGATAAAATTAAAATAAAATATACTATTATTGAACTTTTTTTATAAGAATTTATAAAATAAAAATAAGAAAATATAACTTGTTTGTCGATATTGAAATTTGATATAACTCAATAGTAAATTTTGAAACAAAATAAAACTTATTTATAATTTTTTTTATAGTGGTTTACAATATTTTAATAAAATATCATAATTTTTGTAATAAAAAATATAAGTTTGCTTAGATTAAAAATACTTATGAAATTATTGTTCATATTAATGAGGGGTAAAATCGGGATAGCATACACCATTACGAAAGAATGAACTTGTCAAAAATGTTTTATGAAAATAGGATTTAGTTGTCCATAATAAAAATTGACAGAACTCGTAGTATTTTTAAGAGTAACATATGACTTATTGGCTATTTTTCTAAATAGAATTACTCAACAATGAACTTTTTGCAAACATTTTATGATAAATAAATAGAATTTAATTGTTTATATTAAAACTTAATATGACTCGGGTAAAATAGGACTTATCTGATAAATTTTCCTATAAAATATTGGGAAATGAAAAGAAAAACTGTGTGCCATTTATCTCTTTCCAACGGACTTTCAAAGTGGGTCAAGCACTAATGACAAACAGAAGAAGAAGATAATAATAATAATAATGGTTGAATCAACACGACTAGAAAACGATGAAAAATAATAATAATTAATTAATTAATTAATTGATTATCAAAATCTTTCAATTATTAATAAGGGTTAATTCGTAAAAGGTCTACACATATTGGGGGTGTTTGGCAATCAGAGGTTGAGGATAATATAGCCTCTTTTGAAAAATTATCCCAAAAGTCATTACTGTAGCACTTTTTCTGATTTTCAAAAAAAAAAAAAAAAAAAAAAAAAAAAGCCTGCTGCCAAAAAAAAATAGCCTGCTGCCCGGACAGTGTAGGCACACTGCCGGCAGTGTGTACATCAAGGGCAAATTTACCATTTTGTCCCTTTATATCAATTTTAAAAATAAAAAGTTAGGGATAAATATGTCATTTTAAATTTAAACATCATTTCAACACACTTTTCAATACAACAACTCAACTAAAAATTTATCTCATCTTCCCAAACACAAAAACTAAAATAGCCACTAAAATAATCAAAAAGCCAAATAGCCTACTAAAATAACCACTTCCCAAGCGAGGCCATTATTAGGTCCAAGGTTTAATTGA